GGAGTTTGGGAATTCTGAGACACAGTAGGGCTAAATCCATTTGGGTATTGGCAGTGGTCCATTACAATTATGGCGCTCTCCTAGGAGTCTAGGAGGGGCTACCAGGCTGCCCAAGATGGTGGATGGGGTGGAACTGGCCCAGATCAGGAAAAATGGAGCCCGTTAAAAAGCTTTCATGTTGATCAATTTTTGGATTGAGTCTGTGAATGTTCACTGTACTTCTAGACTGGATGAGATAGGTGGGCCTGAGACAGAGAAGGACAAAGAGGAGAAGGAGGAGGGGAAGGGGGAGGGGGAGGGGAAGGGGAAGTGGATGGTTTAGGGGGCTTGAGAAGTTTTGTACTAATGGTTATAGAAAGTATGATAGAATAACAATGAGAGGGGCAGGTAGGTGGTGCAATGGATAGAGCAACAGCCCTGGAGTCAGGAGGACCTGAGCTCAAATCTGGCCTCAGACACTTGTCAGCTAGCTGTGTGACCCTGGGCAAGTCACTTAACCTCCATTGCCTCCAAAATAAAAGAAAAAATTACAAAAAAAAAGATTAACAATGAGAGAAGACTAAAAGAATTACAATGCAGAAATGCTGAACTAGTTGAAATTAGATGATGTAAATTTTCATGGATCTAGTCACCTTGGAGGTGAGACTTTCTTAAGCAGCATTCAAATAACACTCCTCTTAGGAATAGAGAAAGACTATGGTGGGGGCAACCTAGGATTGGGGCTTGACAAAACATGACTGGTTAAGGGGACAAGGGTAGAGTAAGGGAGCAAGGGTAGAATATAATGCAATAATTCATATTTGAACTAGTCTGCCGGACTGCTGAGGCTGTAAAAAGGAAAATGAAGCCAGGAGAGGATAGCTAACTGAGAGAATAAGGAGGAATGAAGGAAATGGAGGTCTCAGTAAAAACGAAAAATAGGTTTAGCAGGAGTGAAGAAGAGGGAAAGATGGAAAGATAGGAAGTTATGATTGGAGAGGGATTTCAGAGTAATGGATCTTGGAGGTGAGGTTGATATTGACGATCCCATGTATAAACATCCCTATGGATGACTGGATTTGAATGAAGATAATGGGCATGGAAGTTTAGAAGATGAGTGGTTTTGGAGGCCAGGATATTTGAGGAACATCAAACAAGAAAAAGAAAACCTTTTGCATACATAAAAGAAGCCCTTTAGATATACAAAGATGCTTATCATATGATGTTAATCAGTGGTGTCCTGGAAAATGTTTAACAACTTATTCTCTAGAAAAAAAATGTATAGGAGACACACTTTTAGGTTTAATTTGAGTTAACATTTTCTCTATTTCTGAAGTCTAGACAATCATCAGAACAATAAATAATTTTGTATTGTTTGCTGATTTCATTTCTGGGGTGTAGATACTCATACTGAAAATTTAACAATTAGCTCTCACTAGCTGGTACGAGCTGGTTCCAGAAAATTACTGATTAGCGCTTCAAAGGATCTAAGAGATTTATCCAAAGTCATCCAGCTAATAAATTGCAGAACTAGAACTTTATCCTAACTCTTTTGAATTTCTCATTATACCATCCTGCCTCTCCATCAAAGAGTTTGCACTATGATGAACATTTGAAATCCTGCTCCTACTAATTTTCAGACTCAGACAGTACAGAACTCTCAGTTTCCAAATCTTGTCATAAAATTCCCACACCAGAACTGTGGTAGGCTGGAATTAGGCCACAGGGATCAATAGGACCAGCTGGTAAATCAGTGGGGAGCTGCCCCTCATGAACGATCTGGGGCTCAGGTGTGGATCTTCACATTGGAAGACATTTGGAGAGGAAGGATGTTTTAGAGGAGAAGATAGAGGCTGCCCTTCTTGCTCCGCAGGGAGCTCCTCAGATGGCTACGGAGTTAGTCATTAACGGGACCTTAGAAAACTTTTGGGAAGGGGCAGCTAGGTGGCAGAGTGGATAGAGCACTGGCCCTGAAGTCAGGAGGACTTGAGTTCAAATCTGACCTCAGACTGAACATTTGACACTTACTAGCTGTGTGACCCTGGTCAAGTCACTTAACCCTAATTGCCTTAAGAAAAAGAAAACTTTTGGGAGTTCTACTCAATAAAAGCAGTGCCTGATTTGAACACTGTGCTCCTTAGTATTGTATTCCATTTATACCATAGTAGAAAAAACTGGCCATAGAATGATGTAGTAGACAGTGCCCCGGCTTTGGAGTCAGTCACAAAGACATGGGCTAAAATCCTACTAAGATGTTCACTAGCCGTGTGACCCTGGGCAGGTCATTTATCTGCGTTTCCATCTCTTCATCTGTAAAAATGAGGGAGTGTGACTCAATGACCTCTAAAATCCCTCTCAGCTCTAAATCCATGATCCTATCATCATCCTCTTTGAACAAGGACTAAAAGAAGCGTGGAGCGTACAAAGGGCCCCAGCCAAGAGATTCTGAACCTGCCTCTACCACTGTCCCTATGGCCACAGACAAGCTTCTTCTACCTTTGGGCCTATTTCATTACTTGAGCTTTGAGAATATTAGAAGCTTAATATTTATTATTTCTGAATTGGATTGAATTTATTAAATGAGGGCATTAGATAGAATGATCACTAAGATACCTTCTAGTTTCAAAGTTTAAGAGTCTTGTAAAATAATCTTTGAAAATATAGCATTGACATTAGCAGATATATAAGATGCACGCACACTGGGAGAAACGACCATTAAGCATCTGTAAAATTCCGACTGGTTGGTTGGTTGTTGTCCTTCATTCTCGAAGAGGACCAAAATGACATCAGTACGCTGGAGTCAATGTGCCCAACTGTGGCTGATCAGATCAGTGCGAGCTAGGAACGTTTTATCACAGGCCAGGCACAAATAGTCCATATGAACATTTGGGGTAGATTCTCTAGATTTGCGTGTCTTACGTTTCTTTTGACCTACTTCAATTCTGTTTTGGTCATAGAGCACACAGCCCCTTCTCTGATGAGAGCACATCATGCTGAGCAGTCCTGTGCCAGTGTCTCCCATGTCACACAATCAATTTCAAAGTTCTTAAGAGAGACCTTGAGAGTGTCCTTGTATCACTTCCTCTGACTACCCTGTGAGCACTTGCCCTGTGTGAGTTCTCCATAAAATAGTCTTTTTTGGCAAGCGTACATTTTATTCAAACAATGTGGCCAGCCCATCGGAGTTGCCCTCTTGCAGTAGAGTTTGTAATGCTTTGCAGTTTAGTTTGAGAAAGGACCTCTATATAAAGTTCCCACTATATGCCAGCCAAAGGGAATAAACTTTAATTTAGAAGACTTAGACATATGCTTTGGTTCTTCTCTCACTAACTGTATAATTGCCTTCAGCTCTTTGAACTTCAGTTTCTTCAACTATAAAATTATCGGAGTGGATTATATGAGCATGATGGGGTAGAAAGCGCACTGAATTTGGAGTTGGTGGGGCTGTATTCATATCCCAACTCTGCTATGTTCTATTTCTGTGATCTTGGGATCCTTATCTGGGCTTCGATTTCTTCCTCTGTAAAATGAGGGGGGTTAGATTAGATCATTTGTAGTGTGTTCCCCCTCAGCTGAAGTCTTCAAGAGAAAGCCAAACGACCAGTTGTTAGCTATATTGTAGTGGGGAGTCTGAGTCAGATTTAGGTTGGACTAGAAGGCCCCTTGTGTCTCTTCTCATTCTGAGATTCTACGATTCTGCAATTGTTTCTCTTATAACTCTAAATCCTAGGATTTAAAAAACCCTTTCCATGTCTAACATTCTGTGATTGTGTACATTGAGGCAAAATTCCCTTCTGGACCACCTGTTCTAATAAATAGGATACTTTAATGACCCTTGGTGATTACATTTAAATTATATTTAAGCTCATATATGACCATATAACTGCTCTACTGGATAAACTCACATGGTGCCCTATTGCCTTATAGATCCAATATAAATTCCCCTATTTGGCTTTTAAAACCCTTAACCATCTGGCCCTAAACTATCTTTCTAAACTCATTTTACCTTTTTTTTCCCTTCCTTCACTTTCAATCCAGCCAAACTGAATGTCTCTCGGTACCTCACACGTCATCTCCTGTTTCTAGCACTCATTTAATTCAGACATTCCCCATCGTTTGTCTAGAATATTGCAACAGCATTCCTAATTGGATATCTGGATTCCATTCCATGTCCTTCCTAATCCATCCACCATATGGCTGCCAAAGTAACCTTCCCAAAACACAAACCTCACCATATTACTCCCTCACTCAAAAAGAGTTAGTGGCTCCTTACCAACATGATGATGAAATCCATCTTAGGTTGGTATTTAAAGCATTTCACAGTCTGATTCCAATCTACCTAGAAGGACTTATTGCACATAACTCTCACAAATTCTACATTTTAGCCAAACTGGTCACTTGCTATTTCTCAAATTCAGTATTCCATCTTCTACCTTTGCACCTTTGTATGCAGGTTTTCCCCAATGTCTGGTGCACACTCCCTAATCACCTTGCACCTCTTAGAATCGCCACTCTCCTTCAAGGCTTAACATATGTGTCACTTTTTATGAGAAGCATTATCTCAGTCCTCCCAGGTGTAAGTACTCTTTTCCTCCTCAAATTCTTGTAGATATGCTTATCTGTTTACATGATATATCACCCCAAGAAGAGTATAAGCTCCTTGAGGGCAGGGACTATTACATTTTTGTTTTTGTGAACTCAGCATGGTGCTTTGAAAACTAAAATCACTTAATAAATGCTATTAAAATTGGATTGACTAAATGAGGTTTTATTTTATTAATCACAAAGAAAAAGAAAGGAAACAAGTATTTATTAAGCGCTTACGATGTGCCAAATACTGTGCTAAATACTGAGGCTAAAAATACAAGCAAAAAGAAAAATTGTTCCTGTCCTCATGATGCTTTCACTCTAATGGGGGACTTCAACATACAAAAGGGAACTGAAAAGGTTGGGGGTTGGGGGTGGGTGGTGGGTGGTCGGTGGGAAGACGAAGGTACCTAGTATGAGAGTATGATTTTGAAATTTAGAAATTCAGGAGCAGGACCTGGAAGGGAATGAAGGCGGGCTAACCCGGCTCCTTCACAAAATGGAAGCTCTAAGCAATTCATCAATGAGAGAAGGGTGGGATGGTCCTTGAAGAAGTATATTTCATGGTGAGTAGGCCACACAGTGTAGGATGCTGGAGGTCAGAGAGGCCCCAGGTGATGACGGAAGTTCCAGGACGAGACAGCAGCAGAGGTATGACTTCGAAGTGTAGAAAGTCAAGAGCCCAGCTGGGAGGGAACACAATAGCATCTCTCTCTATCTCTCTCTCTCTCTCTCTCTCTCTCTCTCTCTCTCTCTCTTCCTCTCTCTTCCTCTTTCTCTCTTTCTCTGTATATGTGTGTGTGTATGTAAGTATGTGTATCTAAATAGCTATACATATGTGAGCAGAAACTATTTCTTCATTCTATGAAATGTTGCTTATTTGTTTTGCTGTGTCAGCAATCAGATGGATTTCTCAAAATAATCCCCTGCCCCCTCAGTGGTCCATGGCTTACGGATTGGAAATCATTGCTTTAGAATGGTCATTCCTCTCCTTGATTTCATAACATCCCGGAATGTCTCCAAGTATCTCAATAGATACCATGATATTCTTAAGATAGAATTACCAATTTTTTTAATTAAAAAAATTCATTCCCCAAATAACTTATGTTAAGTAGAGAGGGGAGTTCTAAAATCAAAATAGATGAATCCAGAGTATAGTATTTTTTCTACCTTCTGGAATCTTTGTTGGATAGGCATCCCTTCAATTCTGAAGCATAGTGAAGTCAGGAGTTGTTGATGTTTGCGTCCCAGTAAGCAAGAGTTTCTGCAAGACAAACACTAGGCTGGCATTTGTATTCTCTGAGGATCATGCGTTTCATGGGTGACTGACTTTTTAACATAACCAAGCAGTTTTTCTTAGGAAACTGGGCTCTCCAGACTTTGAACCAGACTCCTCTAGTTCTGGAGCTCCCCAGGGCTTGGTAGACACAGTTGGATACTGCACTAGTTTTTGGGCACCAGGTGTGTCTCACCTGCAGTTCATATTCAACCCCTCCTACGCAAAAGAGAGAACAGCTTTAGTGTGCCAGGGACCTAGGGCCTCTGTGGAAACACCTGTTGGGGGAAAACAGGGAGCCTTAGTGAGCACATGACACGTAAATAGAACAATGTGTATTTTCTGAATACTGTTGCATCATAGGCAAATTCTTTTTTGTTGTATTGGTACCCTGGAACTTTGCACCACTCAATTCTACTTTCTCCCCAGCTATCAAAAAACAAAACAAAACAAAACAAAAACCAAAAAACAAATCCACAACCAGTAGCAATCTCTTCCTCCCAAGGGAACACCAACATAAATACAGATCCACTCCTTGGGCATCAGATTAAAACAATAGAACCTCAAAGGAGGCCTGATATGAGGTTGGGGGTACCCAGTCTCCCCAAGGCATGTGGTTGTATGTGTTCACTGGAGAAATTATTCCTTTTTCTCCTTTATGTTCGGTTCCCTTGATTCACATATTTTGCTGCTGCAAAGTGAAGGAAACTATGAATAGATTTCAGGAGTTCTGTGAGTTTGGATAAGAAAAAATACATCTTTATTTTTATTAATCTCTAACTGAAATTTAGCATTTCCTTCAACTGTGGATTTAAAAAAAAATTCTAAGGGGCCTGTGGACTTTACCAGACTGCCAAAGAGGTCCACAACAATAAAATAAGATGAAAAACCCCTCCCTGGTCTAGAGTTATCCCTACCCTTGAATAGAAAAACTGCCTATGAGAGTGATGTGGCCTGTGATCTCTGAGGATAAAAGCACTGTCCTTTCTACTGCATTGAGCAGTCAGCCACCTCATATTGCCACCTGCTAGGCTACCAACACAGAGGACTAAGTAACCCCTGAGAAGTTGCTGTTCCCAATAAGGAAAAAGTTTACACGGTGTAAGAATCTGGTTCTACTAGGAAAACCTTTTCCCTCTCCCTTTGGAAAGAGGCAACAGTTTTCAAACATTTTAAAGTCATGAAATCTTTGGTAAATTAAAAAACCAGAACCTTGATCAGGATCAAGTTTAATGCTATATAAATACAAACATCCACGTATATAAATCACTGGATCCCCTTTGACATTACCCCTATTGATTACTTTCACATCCATGGTACTCAAGGATCAATAATCATAGTGTCATAGACAAAGCTGGAAGGGATATTAGAGGCCATCAAATACAAACCCCTCATTTTACAGGTGAGGAAGTGAGTCCAGAAAAGACCAAATGATTTGCCCAAAATTAAACAGTTATTAAGTATCCGAAATGGATTTAAGAATAGGTCTTCTTTACATCAAGTCTAGTGCCTTATCCACTGTATGACATTCCTATCTCAGTCTACAAGTCATGAAACACCATTTCCATTGACTTCTCCTGACCAAGTCAGAGTGAAATAGTGGACATTATAGTAAATCAAAACACTTTTCATTAAAACACAATGCAAAGTAAACTAGAAAAAATTATCTTCCCTGTCACTGGTGTTGCTTCAGCCATGTAGTGAGAACTGGTTATAACAGCTAAAAAACCTATTCCTTATACCTGCTTTCTACCATGTAATATAAAAAGCACTAGAGGAAGGCTTCCAGTAGTTTATAAAGTTCCATATAGTGCTGAGAAATATGTATATTCTTTAACAGTCCCATTTAGAAGATGCCATAAGTTTTTTAGCTCTAGTTTTTCTAGCAGTTTGTTCAGTTCTATACTTTCCCTTTTGTTTAACTCTTTGTTAGACTTTTCCAAAACTGAGAGAATTGAGATAATCTTGTCACTCTTGTGTTATTGTCTTTGTATTCTTATAGCTTAGTTAGTATTTCTTTTGTGAATTTGGATGCTAAGGCATTTGGAGTATATAAGTTTAATGTTGACATTATTTTGTTGTCTGTAGTTCCTTTCAGCATAATGTAGTTTCCTTGTTCATCCTTTTTATATTTTGACTGTATTTGTTTTGTCTGATAGCATGATTGCAACTTCTTCCTTTTTTTGACTGACTTGATGTACAGTACATTTTTTCTAGTCTCTTATTTTTATTCTATGGCTTTGTTTTTTTAAATGTGTTTCTTGTAAGCAACATATTGTGGGGTTTTGTTTTCTTAGCCAATCTGTCTCTCCTTTTCATTTTATTGGATTATTCAATCCATTCATATTTAAAGTTATAAATTAGGTTTATATTCTCCTATATTTGTCTCTAATGTATCTTTTTTTCCAAATTGGGTTTTCCCCACTCCTTTCCTTTTTAATTTATGTCTCTTTGGTTATTTTAGCTTAATCTATTTTAAGGTGACCCTATTCCCAAGAGTTCTCTTCCCCTCACCCTCAGGTCCCTTCTTTTTGTTACCCTTTTCCCTAATTTTGGAATTTTGCATATGAGTTTCTTTTTATTTCTTGCTTTTATCTCATTATTTAATTCTTCCTCTCTCAGTTAAGTGCTCAAGTAGAATCCATCTTCCTCTCCTCCCCTTCAATTTGTTTTGCTCATTCATTTTTTAAATTTTATTTTCTGTACCATTTTCTTAAAAGAAAAAAAAATTCTTTCCCTCATTCTTTTTATTATTTATCCTCCATTTCTGTCGGTCTATTCTAGAGTTCTATTCTTTGATTTATCACCCTTGTGCTTATTTAGTCCTTGTTTATTCTCAATACTCCTCATGAAAATAAAACTTTTGAGATACCTATATTTGCCTCCTCTTCTAAAGGGTTTCAATTATTGCCTTGTAGATCTTGCTCCTTGGCACCTTTTATTTTGTTGTTGGTTTTGTGTTCTTGTTATTGTGCCTTATTCTTAGAAACAAAATTCTTGCAGCTGATAAGCCCCATGGTACAAATCTTCCTATGTCACTGATTGTGCAGTTCATTACTGACCTCTGTTCTTCCCTGAGTAATTTTTTTTCTTCATTTGCATTGAAATCTCTTCTCTGGTTCCATACCTTCCCCATTCTTCTGGGTGTCAGTTGCCCCCAGAAGCTTTGATTGTCCTTTTCCTGAGGCAGGATGAGCTCAGGATCTCTCTGAGCACCAAATCCCTATAGATAATACCAAATGTAAAATCCCCATTTCCCTTTATAGAATATCTCTCTTCTCCCATTGGAACATTCATCAATCATATCCCTTTCCGCAACTGAAACAAGGTTTGCTTCTTTCTTTCATGCTTTTTCAATCTCTTCCTTTTCCTCCTTCTCTCATTCTCCTGTAGACTCTGTCCTTCCTGAGAGGCTAGAAGACTTATTTGCTTTGCATTGTTAGCCTTTGACTTGATATGGGTACATCATGTGTTCCCTTCTATTTTCTTCCTCCTCTTCTCCCTTTTCTGTGTCCTCTCCTTCTGCAACTTAGTCTCACAAGAAACATTGATTCACCTGTAGGTTAGATGTTGTGAGGTTTAGTTCATAATGTCTCAGGCCTATTTCTCCACCATTACTTTTATTTGATTTGTGTTTTCACCTCTACTTTCACTTTTCTCTACATGTACATTTAGAAAAAAATCTTGTAATAGTCTTTCTGTTGTTATTTCAGTGTTATTGTTGTCCTTGGTTGCTATATTTCTTTAATTTTCTTATATTTCTGTGGTCTTGGGTATTTGAGAAGCAAATCATTTCTTTGGGTCTAGTTTTCTTTCTTGGAATGTTTTAAATGACTCATTATAGAACATTTATCTTCTTTCATTTATCATGAGGCTTAGATTTTCAGAGCAGATCACATTGGGCTGCAACTTGAGTTCTTTTTCTCTTCAGAGAACATTATTCCATACCCTTCCTTCAGTTTCTAGGGAGTAAACATCAGTGTTGTATCATTTGAATTTCCTTTCCTTTATATTTGAAAGTCTTTTTGATGGTTGCTTGCAGAATTTGTTTGTTAATGGAATTGTTCAAGTTAACCATAAAGTATCTTGGAGTTTGCAGCATAGGATTTTCACCTGGAAGAGATCTGTGGATTCTTTCAGGTTGCCCTTTGTCTCCTCTGTTTGAAATTCAGGATAGTTTCTTGTATCAGTTCTTGTGTTACAGTGTTCAGGTTTTGTGACTTATGTTCTTCTGGGAGACCTATATTCCTTAGGTTCTTGGTTTCTAGTAGTTTGAATAGATCCTCTATGAAGCATATACAGAGTACAATGGGCAATAATTGTACAAGTAGAGAAAGAGTTGACGAATTGTGATATCTATATTAACGAAATCATGGATTCATTTTCTAATATGAAAACATCGAGTGGAAATAAATGTATTGTTCACTTTCTAGTGCCAAACTTGATTTGGGAAAGAAATTCACTACTATAAAGTAGATGAAAATGTAATTTGAGGAAGAAGAAGAGATAGGAACTAGATCCAGAAAAAAAAAATTATTTCATACACTTAAATTTAAAAAATAAGAAATGCTCTCCCCAAATCCTAACCTCATTTGTGAAACATTCAATAGAAATTTAGCAAGCTTCTACTATTCCCTGAGTATTCATAAAACACAATTCTAACTGTTCTACAGAAGGGAGTGTGGGTGGGAAGTTTTGTATATTGTGGAGAAGTTTCATCAATTTCTCTTTTTAGTTTTGGCTTTGCCACCAATCAGCTTGTGTGACTTTGATCAAGTCACACCCATTCTGGGCTTCAGTTTCCTTGTCTCTAAGGAGGTGATAATATCATTTGCCCCATATACTTCATAGGCCTGCTATAAGGAAAATATTTTTTAAATTATAAAGTGCTCTATGAATGTGAGCTATTATAATTGTTACTATTATTATTTATGATTTTTTGTTAATCTCTTTGAAGTATTTGTCTTTTTAGATTTTAATTTTTAAAATTCTGAACCTAATAAATACCAGATAAAATGAGCATTTCCATGTATACAATAGGATAAAAAAATTTAATGCTTTGATTTTTTGTATTTGTAGTTTACTTTTATTTTAAAATATATCATAAATCTAACAAGTAATTGTCAAAGCTGTCCTTTTCAGCATTTGATATTGCTGAACATCTGTCCTCCTGGATACTCAATCTTTTATGAATTTTCATGACATTACTCTCTCTTGGTTCTCTTCCTAACTGTTTGATCACTCCTTCTAGGTCTCTTTTGCTTGATCATCATCCATA